GCACAGCGTGGCCATGTCCATGCCATTGGCACCTGTGGAGCAAGTGGCCAAAAGAGGGAAGAGAGGCATAGGAGGCAGCTCCAGGCCAGGCCCAGCACCGGTGAGCCTGCTGTGCACCCAGACCCTCCACCCACCATCACAGCTGCTTCAGTTGAGGGCCAGGAGTCTGAGACATGAAATTCAACAACTGAGCTAGACTTTGGGTCAGAACAGCGTGGGAAAGCCAGGCCCTGCGCTTCCAGCACAAGGGCTCGTACCTGGAGGGCATCTTGGCAGGTTTCCCATGCTCACCTCTCCCTCCAGTTCTGACCAGTGAAGAGAATCTCTTGGTCCATGAGATGCACCAGCCAAATTCCCAGATCATCTCTGCTCTCTGCAGACTCCCACCACTGGCTTTTCTAGTCCATGTGGTGTCTTCAGACAGTCCTGGTCCCATCTACCCCTGCAGCAGGCACCAAAGGTCCTTTTAGCGAGGACCTGATATCATTCGGTCACCTGAGATCCAGCATGTGGCCTCACCATGAGAGTGGATGGGGCACATGGCAAGACCAGAAGAAACACAGTTCTGATCCATTGCAGCTCAGACTGTGCTGACTGACGCTATCCTCTGTGCTCTGTGACGAAAATATTACCCTCAGCCCTAGATCTGTTTAATCCTTGAGCAGGCTTCTTACCCCTAAGCAGATAAATAAAACCAAAAGTCTTCCTTCAAACCACAGCTTGACCAAAGTATACACAACTCCACATGCCTTTTCCACTGTGTTCCAGCCCCGCGGCTGTTGCTCTGCAAGACCAGAGTCAGACGTATGGCTGGAGGATCAGCCCAGTCTGTGGTAGGGCACCACTAGCACCAAGCTTTCCTGGTCCTGGAAACGAGTTGGTCAGCAAGGGGGGCAGCGCTGCAGGGAAGTGCCCCTGGTCCAAGACACCTTCACCCCATAACAGGCCATTAGGATGTTGAGAGATCTTCCTTTGCTGTACTCCTGTGCAGGTGGGTCAGTGGACGAACAGACTCCAGCTTGGCAGACCAGGCAGCATGGGGAAGTCTATGGAAAGACTTTGTGAAAGCAATGCATCTAGCAAGGGACTGAGCCGAGTTGGACAGCTATCCTTCATCCATAGCAGCCTTTGGAAAAGGCTTTGTATCTTTAATGCTTTGGGTGTTGGGACATACTGTTGGATTCCTCATTCTCAAGCCTGTTCCTCTACGGAAGAAGAGCACGGGGGAGCCTGGGAGGTTGCAGTCAGCTCCTCAGGTCCATCTCCTGGTAGCCAAGTACATACCCTGTGGTTTTCATTCAACACATTGCCGTGATGCTGGTGGTGGCTGGCTCTCACTGAAGACACACACTTACATCAGTGCTGTCTCCACCGCTGTTGCAGTCCATTTCACTCCACTGGTCTATAGTCCCCAAACCGGTGTAAGTCAAAAAGCGGCCACTCTCCCTCCTCTGGGTTGAAAAGCTTCCCTTATTTGCAATCTTCTACTTCTCAAGGCTTTGCTTCCCCTTGACTGGGAGTACTCAGCTGAGGTGAAGGTATTTGCTGGGAAGTTTACTGTTGAGCAGGAGGTTTTTTGTGCAAATAAGTCAGTATCCCATAAAAGGACAGTGGCAGGTCTGGGGAACAAGGAGCTGCAGATGCCTCCTGATGTGGCTGAGCTGGTGACCCTGGTGCTACTCAGTCCGTTTCTTGCCAGCTCCCAGTTCCTTATGACCCCTGGTGAGAATGCACCACGCTCCTCCACTACGTCTCTGTCCCGCGGCACCACCAACACTCCCTTGCGCAGGCACCTCAGCACGGAGATGTTGGGCTGTATGTGACACCAAGTCCGGCTCCAAGAGCTTGACTTGAGGCCCCTAGGTAGGTCTACCACTATGTGGGAGAACAGCCTCCAAGCCATAGGTTGAAGGCCTACTGGGCTAAACACTGTACAAACACTTTTTGGTGGACAAATGAATGATCCTCGCTTCAAGAGCTTTCAGTCTCCAAAAACAAAGCCACAGCTCCACCACTATACATACATTACACCTATTTACACCCACAAACAATTTGGTCCCAGCAGAACATGTCTTTCAGAACAATGGCCCAGCAATCAGCTGATCTGGGGCAGGGACGCGACTGCTCTCCTCTGTCTCTTAATTTGCAATGCCAGGCCATTTCTTTCCACCTTTGGTCTGGATCCGCAGCCCCAGTACCCTCCTCTGGCCCACAGCAGAAAACACAGCATCAAAACAAAGTCCTTTCCTGGCTGCCCAAGCCATGGGGCCCACGAGGGTGTCCGCATCACCGAGGAGGTGATAAGTGCTGGGCCAGGCACAGGAATGGGTGAGATGCTGGATGATGCTGGACCCAGCTCTTCCCTGTTTTGGCCTCACAAGCTGTTGGCACTGCGCTCATTGCCGTGTTTGCAGTGGAACAAGAAGGGGGGAGGCAGATCCCTCCATCTTTGAGCCCCAGAGGAGGGTGGCAGAGAGAAAACCAGACTGCCATGAAGCTGGGACACGTGTCTGACAAAGGTTTTCTGAGAGGAGATGTTAGTCGGTTAGTTCATATCACGGTAAGGCACACCCTCCCCGTTGCCCCAGCTGGCACAGGACGGCACTGCTTGGGCGGCTCCAGCTGACTCTCCAAACCTTGCCAGGTGCCTCCATGCCTGGGAGCACCCCGAGCACAGTGCCAGGAGACCCAGCCAGAGACCCCTCAGAGCGTACCTGGCCCTGCAAGGCTGCCGGGCAGGTGCTTTAAGGCTTTGAAATATAAGGCGACTCCAAGGCTCACCAAGCACCCCAAAGCCCCTCTCCTTCCCTCTGCACAGACCCCAGCCCCTCGCAAGACGATTCCTCAAAGCCATGGGGATGGAGAAGGGGAAGGCCCTGGGTCCGGGGGGACGAGGAAGTGGGAGAGGACGGTGTTTCTTTCGGGGATTTGGAAAGCATCCTCAAGGGAATTCAGGTCCCTCCAGGATCATTTGCTTTTAACAAGCAAACAGACAAAGGCTGCTCAGTGTCCTAACTACATCTGTTATAAACCTCAGCTGGGAAACATATACCCTTCTCCATTTTTAACCATGTTTTCCATCCAAGCTATAAGAGACCAAGACTATGATTAAATAAACAGCAGTGCATCACTTAGCTCTTCTCTTCCCCACCATCCTCCTTCACTCCTGACCCCCCAGACAGTTAATTTACAGTTTGGGTGATTCCCTGCCAAGCCTCACTCGAGGCAGGCAGCTCAGCCGGAAAGCTGGTTGTCCCTCCTAGGCTCCAGGCTCTCCGCGACATCCTCCAGCTCATCCAGGATTTCGGAAAAAGATGGCCTTTTAAACGCTTCCACCTGGAACGAGAAGGGAAAGCTGAAGAGGACAGCCGGGACAGGAGGTGGGTGC